GTACTCAATCGAACAAGAAAGATGGCAGACAAGAGGCTAGCAAGTACCCTAAACAACGGCTTAAAACTCTTTGGTTTCTCTGGTTATCAGCAATCTATCTTCCTGCATAAGATGCTAGATGATGAAATTTGAATAAACTTTGTAATTTATGCCTCTAGCTGATGTAGAAGCAGAGAAATTCAAGATTTCGTAGTACAAGTCCTTCCCTGTCCTGCAAAAAGCATTTCTAAGGGAATGTATGGGCAGAATACTGGATTTTTGACCATTTTTCCGCTTTACGTTATTCACTTAAAAACACGATTTTCTATACCGTATTCGATAGTGGATCGATTCTGGACAAGTGATGTTTAGATGCGAGAGTCAGAAGTTCATTTTTCAATGACTCCCTTGCTAGTCCTTGTGTACTCAATCAAACAAGAAAGATGGCAGACAAGAGGCTAGCAAGTACCCTAAACAACGGCTTTATACTCTTAAGCTTCTCTGCTTATCAACAATTTATGTATCTGGATAAGATTTCCTCAATAGTTTAAACCGGCTTCGACTCACTAACTAAGCTCCAACTGTTTAGGATCTCTTCATAAATTTCCTGAAATTGTTTTTCATTCAACCCAAAAGACTCAAAAATTTTTCTCCAAACACTTCCCGTAGTTGTCTTGCGTAAACGTGAATGCTTGTTTTCGTTTGCGCCCATTACCTGTTCTGTTCGCCATTTTTCTAGTTGAGTATGGAAAAGTTAATACCATATAGAAGAGGGGCAATTCATTTTTGTATCTATACACACTCTCTGGTGATTTTTATAATCCCCAAGGCACTGACAAATTCGATAGGGGAATAATGTGTAACATGAAATTTCCATATGCAATACTGCTGTCTAGTATTTTTCACATAACTTTAGGGGCCAGGCCTGTGTTAAACAACTTTTCTGTGGGGGGTCTACAGATCGCATTCAAATCTTCCGTCATCCTTTCCCATCCTGCACGATAGCAGATTACTATCTACATTCGCAGGTAGCCAGAGTACCAAAGTCGTCGAACCTTTTTATTTGAATCTCGCAGCTTATGTACAGATAATGTATGTAAGCTCCCGGGGGGGTGGGGGGGAGTACTCCGCCCGGATTTGGGTAGGGGTGTTCCGCTGGGATCCTAAAATGGTTACCCTGTTTATGACAAAAAAACTCAAATTTTTTCGCGATTTGATTTTAACTGCGAAACCGAATGTTCTTGACGGTATTGGATAGGAAAATAATGTTCAACAGGTATAGTTTCCTCTGCTTTAGCAGAAAAAATATGACCATGATGGCATGCTCCAAATTATATTTCATTGTTTTATGTTTGCAATGATGTAGTGTTAAGCAATTGGGGCAACAGTCCTTCAACTATATCCTGTTCCCATTAAGTGACAAATTAATTAAAAAATTATATCAATTAATATTATATTATAACAATTAATTAATTATAATTTATTAATTGGTTGATTATATTTGATTATTTATTTGATTATTTATTTATCTTATCAATTAATGATGGTAATTGAACTGAGTGGAGTGCAATTTGGTCTGAAATCAAACGCGCGATTACAAAATCGCACGACCGCGTAGCGGGAGTGTGATTTGTAATTGCAAGTTTGATTTCAGACCAAAATTGCACGACACGAATTTCAATTACCACTTAATCATTATCCTTTTTGTAATCATACACAAGAAAAAGACACAATAAAGAGTGCAGAATAATCAATTTAACGTAGTAGAAGAACTAAATACGAACAAGAAAAAACATCTAAAAAAAGTTTTTATATTTTATTTTGTTTTATTTTATTGTTAATTTTTTTTTTCAGGATGCGATTGAGAGCTCTAAGGATGCGATATGGGAATTAATCGCACTCCTTTGAACCAATCAGATTGTAGGATTTGGCAGTGATTACAAAAAGGATATGATTAA